GAGTGCTAGCGTTACACCCACTAGCGAGGATCAGGGATGCTACACACCCGCTAGTGGGGATCAAGGATGCTACACACCCGCTAGCGGGGATCGGAAATCATGACCATATCAAAGACAAAACCATGCAGGATTCACAATCAAAATCCATAATTCACAATCGAAAACCGAAATTCACAATCGAAATCCGTAATTCACAATCGAAATCCCAAATTTCAAAAATAACCAGAAAATTCCATGTGGGCATGGGTTTAACTGGAAAATCATAATTTACAAAAATTCTCAAATCATCAAAGCTGGGTCATCAATAACATATCCACATCGGAGACAAAACAGGCAGAAATTAACAGAAAAATCTTAATTCACCAATCGCTTGCAAATCATCAGGACAATCACTTAAAGTCCAAGTAGGCATGCTCAAATCAATACAAAAAGATTAATAATCTTATTTCAAATCAGTCATGCTCATTTCTAGAAAAACCAGGAAATTCTCATTAAAAATCATCAAAACTCTCATTTCAGTTTAATCACATTCACATGCTGATAAAATCAATTTAAAATCAATTTGAACCTTGCCACCATCTCAAAAACAGTTTAAAACATACTTTAAAATCAAAGGGCTTTACCATGATTTACTTACCTCACTCGCACAGAACCGAAGGCTAACCCAAGCGCTACGGTGACAGAACGATCAAAACCAGGAAACTCCGGCGAGCAGCACCGGGTCCGGCTGGGAAGGAAGCCGACGGGGAGAGGAATGGAGGAACTCACGGCAAACCAGAAAAATCGAGAAGCTCTCCACCGGCAAGAGCAGCTCGCGGCAGGGGAAGGAAGAGCAGAACAGATTCGAGATTTCTGGGTTTAATAGCTGGTCTAGAACAAGAAAAGGGGGAGAAATCCCCAAGTTTTACCGGTGTTTCTGGCCGAAAGTGGGTGGCGGTGGCTGGGGCTCTTCTCGGGTTGCAGGGGAGAAGAAAAGAAGAAGAGCAGAAACGCGGGTCTGATGAGGGAGGAAAGAAAGAAAGAAGAAAAAGAAAAGGAAAGTGGTTGATCCTTATCCTAATTTCCTTTCTTTTTAGCCCCTCAACCTTTTAAAATTTTACGATTAAACCCCAAAACAATATCTTTCCTCAAATAAGTCCCTTAATGCTAAAATATCCCCAAAATTTTGGGATATTACAAAACCGATCTTTTCAATATTAACATTAATAATGAACAATTAATATATCATTCATTTAAATTATTTTCAGTTACCAAAGTAAATAAATTTTGTAATATACCATTCATGTTTGCACATTTATAATTGCCCTATTCCCAATGGCATTTATATCCAAGATCCTGAAATTAAATCCAAGAAAACAACTAATCATTTTAGCAATTTAAATATTACTAATTAATATGTAAGTTACTTGACTCTTAAAGTTCTAACTTCCATTAGTTTTTTCCTTCTTCATC